TCTTCTACATTGTCTAACGAGGAATGCTGAACAGCATCCCAGCTGCAATAACATGATTTACAGCGCCAGATCCTTCTGCTGTTTCAGAGAAGGGTCTCTGCACTGTTGCACAAGCATGGGAAAGCCCACAGGCAGATCACAGAGGCTCAGAAGTGGGTCAGTCCTGCCAACTAGCACACATGCCCACACAAGTGCTCACCACCATGAAAATAGGCCCCAAAGCTCCCACCTGACTGCAGGATTTTCTGTTGAGTACCATGTGTGATTGCATCTCTGGTGCTCACCTTGAACAGCCTTGTTTATAGTCTCCTGATCTGGAGAAAGCTGGCTCCCAACCCCGTTCTCTTTCCCCTCTGCAAAATACAGGGGTCCTATGGCTGATGGTGTAACCACTCACACCATGAGGTGTTCTGGCCCTGACCCATAAACCGCTCTGTGAGATCACAGGCATAGGCAGGCCCCTGTGGGAGCCCCGATGGTTTGTGGAGCTGTTCGAATGTGGCATCACCCCACAGACCAAAGCCCATATGCCTCACAGGCAGAGAGATGGGCATCCTAGATCTACAGTTTCCTTAGCACTGCCCACACCAAAAGTTAAAGCTTTGTCATTCATCTCAGCTCACGCATGCCAGAAAAATAGGTTTTCACTCATTCCCCCAGCCACAGAGTGCAGCCAGTGTGTCACTCAGCTGGTGTCTACAATCAGCTCCCCTAACTTAAGCCAAGTCTATAATTCCCACGGATGCTAAGTGGGTTACTCAGAAGGTATTATCTGTTGATGCTGTGATGCAAGTTGGGTCACTATGGTGTTGATCCTCCCAGTTATTCTTACACTTGTCATGGTCAACCATCTACCTGGAATTGGCACACTAACATCAAAATCAAAGGGAGAAAGGATAAAATCATTAAGGGACAAATATAAATTACTAATCCCTTAGCAATGCCAGCACATTGCAGTCAGACATATTATAAAAAGCTTAGATTGCTTCCGTTTTAAACCAGTGGGGTGATTTCTTTTGGTCCGTTTTCTGTTGTTTGTTTGTTTGTTCTGGGGCTTTTCAGCTTGCTTCCTCAGGAAAGGAAGGCTAAGGAGGACCATGATGTCTATTCCCACTGTTTTAATCTTCTCCTTCCTCCTCCTTCTACAAATGCTGAACTGCATGACTCCCTTCAACAAAACCTGACAATAGAGAGACGGGGTTCCCAGAAGTTTTATGAGACAGGGACTGGGTAGAGGAGAGAGACCGTGCAAGTGATGGAAAGGCTGGTTAGCTAACACTGTACTAGACTTCAGAGAATCTACAAATGACAGAGGTGTTAGATGTGAAACTTAATATTTCTCCCATTCCTGGAACAACTTGCTTTTTCTTGAAGCACAGTGGCTGTCAGCTGGCTACAGATAGGCTGTGCATCCCTGTGCAGTACAGCCATCTCACTATGCAATAGTCTGCCCCTAAGCCTCATTGCAGAAACCACTTTAAATTTATTTTGCTAGGCCTTTATCACTACAAAAGTGAAACATATGTGATGTGATGTTTCTGAGTGGTGGAATTAACTCTGTCTCTTGCTACTTGGATTTTATTCTACTTTCATATGTTGGCTTATCACCTCTGCACATTGTACAAATCAGGACAAGCCCCTGACAGCTGAACACCGAGCTCTAGGGTGGTAACATAGGCAGGGGACACCTATACTTACTGAGAAAGCTAGCCATGATTTTGGGATAGTAAATAACTGTATTCAGCCATTTGCAACAAAATAGGGTTGAGGCTGATTTAAAGATAAAACACTATTTCATTTACCAGTCTTTTCAGGCCATCTGGCTTTCTGATCAAGAACAGAGCCACAGAGATGAACAACTAATTAAAAAAAAAAAAAAAAAGAGCTCACTATTAGCTCTTTCTTTTCAGTTGCATTAAGATAAAGAAGAATTCATTTTGAATATCCATAATGCCAAAACTCAAGCAGTATTTCCTTGTGAGGTATAGACATCTGAAAAATCGACTTTCTAATTAAAATACTCAAATAACAAAACATCCTTTACATTTGGTTTGTACATCTGTCATAGAGGCACACTTACTGACCATGAAGGTAATGAGTGGAAAATTGTGTCCACCAATGACTTGTATTTGCAAACTATCAGAAATTTTCCAGTCTCCATCATGACATGCAGAGCCACTGGAATTCACGTGCTCCAAGGAAAGACGCAAATTTTGCAGAATGGTGTTACTACAGCCAGAAGACCAGTCTTGGCTGGCTACCTCTCTGGTTCTCCTGGTACCCAGTACACTGTACATCCCTCACTAAGCAGCAGAAGTCCTGCCCCTTACACTGGCCAGCTGGTGGTTCCTTATACCAGACCAGATCCTTTTTTTTTCCTCCCAGCTACCAGCAGAATGCCCACTCTCTAAACCCTAGTATGCCCAAGAGCAGAAGCTATTTTTTTTTTTTTCTGTTTACTACTGAAAGCCAATACACCTTTGAGCTGAACAAGGAAGAGCAAATCTGTTTACCCACTGCATGCAGAAGGATGGTATATAAGTGTAAATACATGAACTATGGTTGCCGATTGGGATTTACATCCTGCTGTGTGACAACTTGCACCCACGAGTGCAACAGACTGCATGGAGAAGATCTACTGAAAGGAGTCGGGCTGCGAGGGATGTGATCCTGGCTCCAGCTGCCAGATGTGCGCCCCAGTGCCTCCCTCAAAGAATCCCCCAAAGTATTCCCCGGCCTCCTCTCCCTCCCATGTTGAGAAAGAAGATGCTTGAGAAGCCTCAGTGAAATGCAAATGTAGCTGGGTCAAAAAGAAAATGAAAGTCTGAGGGTTTGCAACAGGAAACGGCCTGGGGGCGGGGAGAGGAGCCTGAATGCCTTTCATTGAAATGCAAAGAGCAAATTTTCCTTCTCAGGGGGAGCAGAAACCTCCTCAGAGGATTATTTAAGGGAGCAAGAGAGTAGTCGGTAGCTAAACCTACACTAGTCTGGTCCTGAGAAACAGGGTGAGTTAAATCATCCCAAGTGTATTCTTGCAAAGGCACGACACTTTCTGGTTTTTGTTTGTTTGTTTGTTTTCCATGACACTCCTCCCTGCTGTTTTTGAACACATGAGGGGAAAGAAAAAGCCTTTCAAGATTTAATGAGTAGAAATGATGCAAATGGGAATCTAGTCAAGCTGATACCAGCATGTCCCAAGCACATCTAGTAACTGCCATCTGCCCAAATTCTCTTCTTGCTTTAGTCATTCATCTATTCAACTCCCTGAGCTGTGCTGCTTCTTGGGTACTGAACCTTTTGCATACAAAAGTGACGGAGGCAGAGGCCATTACCGTAAAGCACGTGGGTGGCTGTTTCACAGCCAACAATTTAGCAATCCTTAGAAGCTTTTTCAGCTTTGTCCAGGTGTGTTTGAGCCGATTTCTATCATCCAGCAGACGAGGGAGGAGGGAAGGGGGAGGAATGGGTTTGATAGGCAGAAGTTAAAAAGCTCAAGATAACTTGGCTTAGTCAGAAAGATGCAGTGGTTCAACCAGCAGAATGGAGGAAGGTGTCTCAGAGGGAGCGCTGCATTCAGCAGGACCTGAGCCATACAATGGTCCATACCTGCACGTGTCAGCACCACAACCACTACTGCCAGCTCTTTCAGAGTCTTTTCTCATTGAGCGTTTGTACTTCTCTTTCAAACTCACTTGGTCACCAGCCACCACTGCTGGTGCACTAATTGGTTATACATCTTCAAAAACCAGCTTTACCTCTGTTTCTTGTCCTCAAGACTGTTTTACCGTTGCCCCATCCACCCTTCTGTGCAGTATGGACATCACACAATTGCCTGTACTGTTCCATCAGAGCCCCACCACAGCTAACAAACAAAGAGAACAAGCTGTGTGGGCAATGCTTTTTTGACTAATTAACGAACTTTTTTTTTTTTTTTTTCCCCCCCACAGTCTCCTTTGTATTTCCCAATCACACAGTTTCTGCTTCTACTGCATGCTTTGTGTGTGCGTGCTGGCCCACACTTACTCGTCCCCATCCCATCTCTGTGATGGCACTACTGCTGTCCTGCGGTGACATGAGTGGCAAAATCTGCTGATTCTTTCATTCCAGCTTGTACTGATGACTGTGCATGTTAAACAATGCTACAAGTGGCAGAAATAATGAAGTTTGGTTTCCAAAATGTCTCTTGTCATATGGATTATTTAATGTCTATGAAAAAAATAAGCTTATTAACTCGTAAATTAGCAAGAAAGCGGGGGGGGGGGGGGGGGGGGGGGTGTGGAAGTTTCCTCTCCTGGCCTTCTTTCACTGAACTTATGGGAAGTGAGTCTTTTTGTGAAGCCAGCTCCTCTCCCATGTGTTACTGAAGTGCCTTAGGAGGCCTTTGGTAGCTCTCAGGGGAGAATGGAACAGCAGTGTACAGTGGGAGGCTGTAAAAATGGACAGGGTTGGTTGGGGCTGTGTTATCTTTCAGGCATTTTAGGAGAGTAGGAAAAAAGTTCTGGAGTTTTGTGTCTCCCCAGCTCAGGTCCTGTGGGCTGGCAGCATTGTTTTTTTTCTGTTACAGCCATCCTCTTAAGTTCTGGAGATAAAGCTTATCTCCAGTATAACTGGAGCCAACAAGCATGAAGAGCACTGATGTTTCTAGGCAAGAGCCCTCTTTCACAAAGCAGAGAGGAATAGCTAAGCAAACTCACTACAGACTTTGGGGATTTTATGTGGAGACATGGTTAAATTTTAATCTAATTTTCACCAACTGCTTGCTTTATATCAAGGGGAAAAAAAAGTGTGTATCTATGTGAAGAAGGAAATAGAAATTTCAAGAAGAAAGTTTTAAAAAATATGTAATTATTTTACCCAATTTATACTTTCTAAAGAGGAAGAAACAAGTTCAACAGGTTTAAATAGAAGATGGTTTATCTGTACAGGGAAATTAAAAGCTGATCAAGTTACATGCTTTATCTTTTTCCTTCTAATACTTTCTTTCTAATACTTTATTTTAGGCTCTCAGTCTGCCCTGAAAAAGATGCAGTTACAACAGACTGAATCTGTAAGTTTCCTGTACGTGGAACAACCTATTGAAAAGAAATCTGAATTGTAAACAGTGAATAATTAATAATAAATATGTAACATATTTCTGGATTACTAATATTCAGGGATAATCTGTTTTACTAACAAAATGCATGAATAGACAGTGCTGTCTTCTAAGCACTGTTGCTTATTTCTGTTCCTTCATGGGATGCTGCTTTGAAATCCTTTCATTGCATTCAGTGAATCCAGACTCTGAAGAGGAAGAGCACTGCTTTGAGTGCTTGAGTTTTCTTTTGCATTCCCTTGCTTAAATGCAAAGCAGCTTATTTCTGCGTGACTGGCAGAAGATCTAAAAGAATGGCCCTTGGTAAAATGTAAATATCCAACTTTCTGCTTGGCTGGCAAGTTAACATTATCAATGAAAACAAGGAAATACCTGTCTAAACAATACTATAATTGCTTTAAAGAAGTAAATGTGGGTGACAAGATATAAAATGTCTTCTATCTGTTAAAGAAATATGTACGAATTTTAAGGAAAAAAACTAATAAACACTGCTAATATTAATATTTCCTCTCCACACTGTCAGCCTCCACAGGACTCTCTTGTTTTGGCTAGATTAAAATATGTATATCAGCACTGGTTGCTTTCCAAGTAATCCCACTGAGGTGAATGGAAGTAAATACAGAGCAAAACACTACCCAAGGTAAAGAAGTTGACAAGCCCCTGGAACAGCAAGGTTGCACAAAGGGGCCCTTTGTCCCTGAAAGGACTCGTGAGCAGAGGAAGATGGATTTACCTCCCAGAAGGGTTAGGCTAAGCAGGCTGTGGTAGTGCTTGCTTGCATTAATGGGCAGTTTAAAGTGCCTGAGACGATCACCTCCTCTCTTTCACATCACCACAGTGTGAGTTTTGGCTTTGTCTGGGAGTTATTTCCAAGTGTGCATGACTGGCAATGCCTTGTTAAGAAAAAATAAAATAAGCCTTAAAATAAGCATTATGCTTTATACAATTATGTTTACCTGTAATAAACAATTACTACAAAGCAGACATATCCATGAGCTGAAGATTTGAATTTGGAATACTAAGAAATGACAGATTTAGTAGCAAACCCCATCGCTAAACCACTAATTGTGGGGAGTCAGGAGCAAATACCCAAAGCAAAATCTCTCAACTCTTGTCTTGCTTCTTATATTCTTATTTTCCTGCAGTGAGGATCAGGATACTGGACTAAATGACCTATTGGCCTGACCCAATGTGGCAGTCCATAAAAATCCACTTGGTGCAGCTGCCTGCTTTCTTCAAGTCTCAAAGTGCTTTGCAAGGAGTGCAGGCAAGGAAGTGTGTCTCAGAGAAGTGAAGGGATTTGTTATCAATCTCTGGGCAGGCAGATTCCTAGCACCCAGAAACAGATCTCTTTAGTTGATTTGTGCTGTTCCTTTCTCTTTCTCTTGTTTGACTATTCCTAATTTAACTCCTATAAATTCAATTGTTTGGGATTTTGTTTTCTTCCTTATTTTTTGGTGGGGGTGGGGTGGGGCTGGAGTAGGAAGGTAGGGGGATGGATGGTGTTTGTAAGCTGCTGTCTTAATCACTCTGGTAAGTTAGACAATCTCTAGCATGTTATTTCAGCTTTATCTGTGCTGATTCTATGATTACCACCCTTCATTTTACTCAGGTATTTGTATGTCTTGCTATAACATGAAATACAGCAGAAATAATAACTGAGGCACTCATGGTGCTAATTTACACGTTAAATTCTTAAGAGGTCCTGATTTTCTGCTGCATAATACTACTCTTGCTTTCTTCCTCATTTGACAGCAAATCCAGTTACAAATAGATTATAAAGCCCTGAGTCTTGACATGTTTACAGCCCCTTTTAGATTGTTGATACTGCTGTCTGCCAGGTGGCTAATCCTATCTGGAGCTCTCCATTAGCTGTTGGCTTACAGGTTTGCTGTAAATGCTGTATTCCCTCCATAAAAGATCTCAACCTCCATCTATAAGCTTGAGTATTTGGATCACAGAGTCTATAAAACAGCTTATTTCTGCGTTTATGTTCTTCTGCACTTTCAAATTGGACACAGTTTGAAGCAAACAAAGAAACATTTTCAAATATTACCTAATGAATGAATAATGAATAATACGCTAAGAGAAATTTTTGGAGCCCAGAGCAAAATGAAAGATCAGTCAGTGCTCGGGTAAGGTTTCTTAAAGTTCCTCAGGCTGAGTTGCAATGTCCTTGAAGGCAGGACGCTACAGGTATCATTAAAGACAGTGGAATTTACTATAGATAACTGACACCATGACTGAAAGAAAAACCTACTCCATGGTCAGAATAGTAACTGGATAATAGAAAAGACCACAACAACAACAACAACAAAATCAGCTGAGATGTAGCCATTACAAATACTTTGGAGTTGAACGTATTCTGCAGACAAATATTACCTAGATACAGAACTCATGATGGAGAAGATTTTACTGAGAATAACATTGAAACATAACTTTGAAGGAGGCAAAGGTGCTGAAGCAAACAGGCAGTCAACGTAGCCAGGGTAGAGATGCAACATACTGTGACACCAAGACATAATGCTGCTTGTGCTATGATTGAATGTGGAAATCTGAATCAGATTGTGTGATTCCACAGCATAAAATGTCGTATCAACAAATACCTCAGACATTCTCCCTTCCAAGCCTTTAAACCTCCATAAAAGCAGTAATAATTTTTCTTCCAGTTGGAGTTTCCACTGACCTTTAGGCTGGAGCTCCAAGCAAAGCACAGAGCAGAAGACACCAATTACATGAATAACAATTACCATAATACCTCCTAAATTGGCTAGCTTACAAACTTACCCCTCCAAACCACAAACCAATCAAAGAGAAGTGCCAAAAAAGCCATCCAAATGCAGGTCTTTGATCTTCTTTTCCCACCTGAAGAAAACTGTAAATTAGTACAAACTAGGCCATCTCCACAATGATTTTCGATCTTCAGACCAGTTTGAAAGGTATCAAAATAACCTGGAGCCTCTAAACGCTCAGTGGGTGTAACAGCAATGAAGGATTTATACAAAACTCAGTAAGAAATCACCTTTCATTGCCTGAGCCAGATACCTGAAATAGGTAAGCGTTATGCTAGCATCAGCAAGGGCAGTGTAATATAAACATCAGAGATACAAAGATAATTAGCTACCTAATCAGACAACCTCAGTGGCTCCTGACACATGTACTTCACAACTGCTTATTTCAGCCATGTTGTTGTTACCTTACTGTTTGAGGCAGACATATCCACAACCTTTTGCAATATCAAATGCTATCTTAAAATACTTTTTATCAGTGACGAAGCACAAGGGTCTAAATGGCACCAAAATTCCAAGAATCATTGTCTCTGAGACCTTTAACAGCCAGAAGCACTTAGATTTTATTGTTTTCAATTTCTGTGATGATAGCACTAGTGTCTTTTTGTATCCTACAGTGCCATTGGTTCACTAGGGACTCACCAACCCCAGCTTTACATGTACACAGCACTGCAGTTCACAGTCTGTGTCTCATTCATATAGTAACCCAATTCGTTTTCTTTTTTCAACTTCAGCTAACAACAGCATGACAGAAGTCATCCCAACTGTAAAGTAGACCTCCAGTGCATGAGCAGCAGAGGGAAGCTGAGCTGTGATAGCACACAGGGAGGAGACGGCATTCCTACAGATGGGCTCATTTTCCTTTGTTAGAGTGGGCACTTCATGCTGCTTAATGGTGCTGCCCTGCTGCTATTAATACACAGGCAGTCACTTGACCTTGGCAGTTGCTTTGGCTAAAATAATTCTCCTTTGAAGCTGGCAGGGGCACAATAGGAGCACATGCCTGCTGCCCGCTGCAGCAGGGTGCTCGGCTGGAATGAGTGACCTTCGCATGCCTCTGAAGGTGCAACTTCACAACCCAGCAGCTTCTGCTGAACCTTCCTTCTTCTGCCGACCCCATCTTCTCCCTCTCCCCAGCTGCATGTCCCCGCCCTTTTTTCTTGTGTCACTGGTGTTACTAAAAGTTGTTTTTTTTTTTTGTTTTTTTGTTTTTTTTTTTTCCCAGCAATGATTCAGCTTGCTTTTAGAGTGAAGGGAAAGAAAAATGCAGTTCTAGGATTCAATGCCATTGTCCCCATAACAGACATCTAGATTAGAAAAGATGAATGAAAATTACTTCCCTTTTTTCCTTTTATTTTAAGGTGACAAGACAACTAGAATTCTATGCTCTATTTATTTAAAGGCAGATAAGACAAATCCCATCATTAAAGTGTGCAATCATCTCATCTACAGTTCCCCATTGTGAATTTTTCTAAGCCAGTAGACTATAACCCTTCACAGTTATAGCAAAAGGTGGACATCCCTAAAGGCAATTCATCCTCTTAGCCTGTATTCTAGGATTAGTCAAATTGGTCTCAAGATCAGGTGTCAGGTGCTGATATTCTGACATTAATGTCTGTAAGGGTCTGTTTGTTTGTTTGTTTTCCAATTAAATTCCTTGGGTATCAAGGGTTCACTACTGACCAAGCCCAGAATAACTTCTGTCATGTCTGAATCGCAGTGTCAGCTTCATTCTGGTCAGATCCTTAAAAAAGATGTTTTCCTCTGCCTAGAAGCCAGCCATGGAAGAAAAGATTACCCAAGTGTACTGCCCACAGCCATTTTCATGGCAAGGACGGGTGGAAGAGGGCTTGATCTGAACATTTTTATTCATTCCTTTAATAAGTAACATTATAATTGATATTTAGATAATATTATAGTTCACAAATAGTATAGTATAAGGCAACTGAGAAGTTGCTCAGAAGCCACAGCTGTGGTTGTGAGTTGGTTTTTGGTTTTGTTTTTGCTTTTATCACTTACTGCAACAGAAATAAAGAAGAGCCCTGGTCTGTTCTTAGAGTACTGCTGCTGCTACAGTAACACCAGTCTGAAGCTTGTTGGAATACTACTCTGTACCACTGGAATTGTCATATTTAATAATGTAACTATGCTATAGTATAACAATCCTGTAACTACACATACCCATGCACACACTAGGTATCAAAGGTGTTTTGATTGATAGAGCATGTTTCGTATGGAAAGGTAACATAAAATATCTCAGGAACAAGATCTTGCTCTATAAGATGAACCTCCACTAAGAACTGACTCCTATACTTTTATAGTCTAACTACATTGTCAAATCCTTTCTAGTGCAGATGAAGTCTTAGCATTGGCAGAAACAGAAGAACAGAGTTAGTGCAAAAAGCAACATCAATAAGCAATAGACTGAGATAATCATCCATGCTCGCTCAGCTCACTCAGTTACTATTTAGAATTCATGACAGCAAACAATTACCTTGTACAAATGAGAACAGGTGTCAAGCTCCTTTATCGACTCCTTGATCGTGAACATGGGGCTGCAAATGTAGTATACTCTTAGTGTATATACATATGTATATATATATACTCTTTATATACTTCCTATCATAGAATCACAGAATCACAGAATCACAGAATGGTTTGGGTTGGAAGGGACCTTAAGGATCATCTAATTCCAAGCCCCCTTTCATGGGTAGGGACACCTCCCACTAGACCACTTTGCTCAAATCAATTATGTTTTGTAAAATAAAGAAACAAAAGAAAATGGAATGAATCACCGTTGCGTATGTATTGGATTTGAAAGTCAACCACTACATCCCCAAGTACATACAACAGCTGCAATGATATTGACCATCATTTGTGAAATAATATGAGAAGATAAAATGCAAGTTGAAATGCATTAAGCAACATCATATATCCAATAAATTAAAATTAAATTAGTCTGCCAAAGTGAGCTACTAAAAGGTACATCTGTAACATCAGAGGAAAAGTAAACAATAAGTTTAGGACATCACATAGTCTTAAGGGTTTTTAATCTACTAACTGCTCACACTTTTATTTCTATTATTTTAATTACTGTTCCAAGTCCTGATCAGTGCAACCAAAAGCCAGACAGGGTAAATTTCTACTTACCTTTCTTGTGGGACTAAAAAGCAAATCAACAAAATATTACAGGGTACTTGTGACTTTCCAAAACTATCAGATCTGCAGCTGCCCATATGCATGTCTCAGTGTTAGCTAATAAGTTCACAATGACACAGATATTTCAAGAATACAAACTAATGCACATGGTCAATCGCTGGCACATGCCAAGGAAAAAAAATGTTGTACTTATCTAGACAGTGTTAGCTGATGTCACTGGTCATGTTGATAATGCTATTCAAGACAACTTACTGTTTATTAAACAACTTAGTTTATGTGCATGAGTTATTAATAAGAAGTGTTGGAATTACAACACCAGATACAGAAAGAGGTATTCATGTAGACTAAATTTAGCTTAGTGGAGCTAATCCCCATCCCCAGCTCCTTCTGTTCTCTGTGAAAGTGTAAGCTTCTATAGAAGGGACTTCAGAGCATGAGCTTAATTTAGGCTGAAGTTGCAGAAGAGGTAGTGAGCTGATTTACTATTTCTCAGCCGCAATAAAAGCAAGGGATTCCTTGTGCCTGCTCATTTGGAGCCTTCTTGAGCTGCCTCTGGTGTTTGTTGGGCACTTCCCTGAACCAAGTCAGTTGGATAATGAACAGAAAACTGTTTAAAGGAAAGGAAAAAAAAATCTTCAGCTGATTTAATGAGCTGAACTGGCTCAGGAGGAGATCAGAGGAGCATCAAAGCTGGTGGGTATGAGGGATGAGCAGGGGTGGAGGGCAGCACTTTGACACTTGCCCTGTCCTACAATGCTGAGCTGACCATTTGACTCAGCTTTGCTGAGTAACTTTACCCTTAGCCGCCCTGTAAATGGAGAGTTTTAGTAGTGGAATTGGTTACAGAAGTCCCTGCACCCACACTGTGATTTCCAGTCCCATTCTCAGGCTGCTGTCATTGCTGTGGGGCAGATAACAAATGATCTCCCTGAAAACAGGGATTTGCTTTAGACTGCTGTAATTGCAGCAATACAGATGAGGCAGCAGCAGCAAACAGCAATGCAGAACTGGAAACCGCCAACATGGGGCAAAAGCTCTGAAGCTGGCTTAACCTCTGAAGCGTTTCTGCTGACAGTGACGGGGGGATGGAATTACCTTCCCCAGCATTTGTGAATACTGCCCCAGAAGGCTCCATTTATTCACTTGCTATGCCAAATGGGGTTCAAGTCCCCTCTTCTGCAGGCATCTAGCTTAGGTGTCAGCCAGAAGGTTGAGGCTGGGAGTCTGTGCTGCATGCAGACAGCAACAGCAGTTTGCAGTGGGTGAGGGGTGTCTGGAGGAGGTGGTGTGAGCAACGAGAAGAGGAGCATTTCCTCCTACATCTTAAACTTGCTTTGGGATGACTTGGAGAACCAAGGAACCATTTCTATGTCTTAGCTGTCTTCTTTGCTTAGAAGAGATAGATGTTGGTATCTATCTGAGTATAAAGAATGAGATGAAGCCAGATAGTCACACACACATAGCAGTTGTTTTGGATCTCTGCTGTTTTGACCCAGCAGAACAATGAATTTGCATTGTAATCCTCCAGGTCACATTACCAAATCCCAACCATGAAGTATCTCACTGCCTCTTCTTTCAGTGTATTGTAATGTATTTACTGAAGGAAACAACAGTTCCTCACAATAATTCAAAGGAATCAAGGAAGTTCTAAGTGGGTGCCTGTTAAAATCAAATGAAAGGTATTTGTTACAATCATCCTAAAGCTCATGGCTCACTTTGTTTTGCCTACAGCTTTACAAACTAAAGTGGAAACTTGGTTTGCTGAACTGCTGGGATCTATTGTAAAGTTTAAAAGAGAAGATTCAAACTGTGTCCATGGACATCTTGGCTGACCTCTGGTATACCACTCTCAAGGATCACTACTGCAAAATATAGCCCAATTCACTTAGGATGGGACATGCCATCTGTCTTTACTTTCAGCAGTGTATTTTTTTTCTTCTGCAAAACCATCTGTCCAGAAGAACAGACTCGCTTTCAAGGGACAGTCAGGACTCACAGCATAGTCTTTCTTCTCAGCATGCCACTTTGAATGATTGTAAAGGCAATGAGTGGTTTTAAAGGCAGAGTTTTATTTTCAAATTTTGAAAAGTCCCTAGTTTGAAATACATTACAAAAAGTGTTCCACAAAGTCAACCTGGAATAGATGCTTGCATACCTCTATGCCCAACTTCACCTAGGATGCCATACTTTCTCTGAGAAGCAGCGCCTGTGGGGCTGCCACTTGCCACCTCTTATTTCACTGGTCAGTTGAAATAAGCCATGACAGAGGGTGCTCCAGGAATCTCCTCAGCACTCAGATATATACTGACTCATCACATCTGTCAGCAGTTGTCTTCCCAGTGATGCCAACAACATTAAGGGTTGGATTCTCCCCCACATTGCCTGGCTGTTTTCTACCAACTTCCATCAACAAATCTACCACCATGAGTCCCCAGTGTGTCCTTCCTAGCCTTCACACAGGACTTGGCTGCAGTGTGATGGAGCCAAACATTCCTCAGTACTGGGAAACTTGTTAAATAATGCTTTCTTGAAACTCAGTTGTGTTCACTGTATTTCCACCAACCCCCCCCCCCCCCCCAAAAAAAAAAAAAACACACAAAAAAACTTGCTCTATGAACTATAGAGCAGTATGGGTCTAGAGTGCAATATGGCAAAGGTTAGCTAAGATATCAATTGGTACTTCCCACAAAGGAGGACAGTCGATCAACCTCGACCCTTAACATCAACAATCTACTTCAAAGGCAGTGGCTGGAAGCCTGTGACTGTACTAGTGAGTACAAGCAGATGTGTGTTTCTGTAAAGACAGGTAAAAATGCATCCTGTTTTCAAAATTATGGTCACTTTTAACAGGATAAACATGGGATCATTTAGGTGAATGTCTAGTTGGATGGGAGTGTGGGAGAAGAACCCAGTCTTTAGTAAAATACAGTGTAAACAGCATCCAGACTTGTGGGACTCAAGAGGCATAGTACCTTCTCAATGTATCTGAAGCAGTTCCCCAAAGCTGGTATGAATTTGCGCTGTTTGACCAGGAACTTCATCAAGTTCATTCCAAAGATCCTGTGAGGCCTTCTAAACAGTGACACAGGCACAATGAGGAGACAAGGGAATCATAGCACAAGAACATGAAAAGCCAATGAGGTCACTGGAGTAAGGGAAGATACTTCCCAAGCAACGTCCTTTGCCGGAGCTGGATGTGTGTATCATGTAATGATATTTAACATTGCTTGGATCACAATCAGTCAGTCAAAGTAATGTAAATCATGGTATTCTTTATGGTGCTGAACATCTGCTTATTGTGGCATTGTGATGAAGAATCCCAAAACTCATTTCATAATAAGCAATGTGAGTGCTTTTAGATGATAATGTAACTTAGTTTCCATTGACCAAAGCTGGTTTTCATTCTCATTTTGAATATCAAAACTAATTTAAACCTAAACTTAATTTCCACATTAGGTTAAATGCATCTGAAAATAAAATGTGGCAAAATGAGCAAAACTCTTGGGCAGAACAGTATTATGAAGAAATATGAAAGAAAAATTTGTCTACTGGGAGACATGAATTATGAAAAATGAAATATCTTTCCAGGTACTCTATCAATATCCTCCACATGGTAACACAGGTTTGACAGTGTCAAATTAATGACAGTGTCATTATCAGTGCTATGATCTGTGTTAATAAAAAAAAAAGTTTAATTTAACGAGGGTTTAGCTCTTCCACTAGCACTAGGACCTTCAGTTGCTGGTGATCACTGTACAAACTTGTGCACACGTGCATGTGATGTATATTTGTTTTTTGATTAACTACATTATAAAGGATTTAGCTATTATGAGTGTGTTATCTGTTGTACTGTATAATATTTAAACAAAAATTAAACAAAACCTAGGCTCAATGCCAAAAATAAGGAATCATTCTTTCAAATAAAACTGAGGTAAAGAAGGTTGCAGAACTGCCACTCCAAGATTATTTTTCTTTATTGTGTGATGTATTTTCCCTCCTAATGGAAAAGTCAGATGAATAAGCAGTGAATTAAACTTAGGTGCACCAGAATTTCAGTTCAGCATCTGCAAGTATTGTGTGTACACTGGCACTTTGTGATTTCCAGCACATGAATCTATCTCTCTCTATTTTGCAAAAGTGGACCAATAATTCATGTTTCTCCATTTTCCTTAGGACTATGGCCATCTTCAGACCATGGCCATCAGACCACTGACATTTTGCTGTGGGAAAGAGTTCCATTAATACAGATTTTCAAGTGAGCACTCTGTTTCTAATCAGGTCTAACAGTGGTTTTGGAAAAAAAAGGAACATCAGGGAAATCATATCTACTTTCATGTGTTTTGGGAACATGATGGCACAGATGCAGACCTACCTAATTACAGACCTTGTATACAGCCATGAGTTAAATGTGATTAAAATGTATATACACACACACGCACACACACAAATAATGTTGTAATTGTATGAAGGTTACTAGGCAAATTTATTTAGACCGTGTCCCTTAACACTAGGGTTTGTTTTTCTGAAAAACTCTGCTTCATCAAAAATGCCAACGTTGCCAAACTTGAGCTGAACTTTGAAATTATGACCTGTCACCACTAGGCCTCCTGTTTGACCCTGTCTCTTCACTTCCCAGTGCCTCAGTTCTCCATCGTCTGAGAAAATAAATAAGTAAGTAACTGGAAGCAGGAAGGGGGAATAATCTTCTTTCTTCTTTGACCTGCACCTGCCCTATCTATTTATATTGCAAGAACTTCAGAGAAAGGATTAAATACCCTCTGCTTTTAATACTGCCAGCAGGACAAGGCCTGATCAGGGCCTTTAAGGTCTTTCAAACTGGAAAGCGGCCTTTCCCTCTTAGCTTAATTACAAATGCTACTGTCATAACTAATTGTTGAATGCTTGTAATGCAAGAGAAAGATCCAGTCCAAAGAGCATGTGATGCAGTGGTGAGCACTCCTCAGCAGGGATGCTGGCAGGAGGCATACGGACCCGTGCTCCAATTCAGGAATGAGTGAATCTTGCTCTCAGATGCCCCTGACCTCTCCTCCCTCACTTACCTTTTTTTCTTCCTTCCCCCTTATTTTATTAAAGTCCAGCTGTACATGTTCCAGTTCTGATTATACAAGATAAACTGTCTTACCCTGACTTTTCACTGTATGATTTTAATTTCTGTCCAGCTCCCACTTCATCTGCAGTTAGGAAGTCTTGAATTCATTTTCTTCAGCCACTACCTGAAGTGCCAAGCAGATGACTTAACTCATTCCTGTCTCTCCAGGGCACCCTTTGCAATGCCAAACAACATAATGAAGTAAAGTAGGTCACAGCTAGATAGTAATTTAAAGCCAGCACGGATCTGTACTGCTGCCCAGAAAAGCAGGTTGCACCCTTTCGTCACTGCTCGTTCTCATCAACTCTCCCAAGCTGGCACCAGCATTTGTTTGGCTGCTTGGTGAGCCAGAGGGAATTAATCCAGTGAGTGCTAACCTGGCAAAATAATTGGCAAAAAGATCAACAAAACTTTTAGCTGGGAACGACAACAAGAGGGCAACCACGGTCTTAGACAGGAAGGACTAGCCTCTGTGCCTAGTCACTTATTTAGGAGGACTCTGGAATCTACCCTTCTGTTTTCCTTCTCATAAGAGAGAGAATTAATGATGTGTGATGAGGCATCTACAGCATTTTTTTTTCCTGGTGAAATTGGAAATGTATGCAATTCAGTGTTCTACCTCTACTTTCTCTCTTGACTGCTACAGAGAAGTCATGTTACAGCATCAGGAGAAAATACTTTTTGCTATTCTTTCCTTCTGATTCCCCATGCATTGGCCCTGCAGGAATTTCAGCAAACCACTTCCTTCTTTCCTGTTCAGCAACAATGGCAAACTGTATACCCAAAATCGTATGCCAAAAATATCGCAATGGAAAGCAACAGAATGGTCAGAGGAAAAGCATGTCATATCTTATTTACTGTTCTTTAGAGTGATTGATGTGCTTATTACTTTAAAAAGGAACAAAACTCCATTCACACTCTGGGGGCTCAGGCTCATTCCATGGCCCCTACATATTAAAATTTTAAAGTGATTCTCTATTGGGATTATTGGGATATGGCACAATAGTCCGAGATACTATGATGTGGGTTGGGCCTTCTGTTGGAGGAGGAGAAGGAGGAAGAGGAGGAGCAGAAGAAAGTAGGAGGAGGAGGAATCATTGTGGCACAGCATTGTTACATTCCTTGTTCTTGCCAAAGCCTGTGTGACTTCAGGCATGCCATTGTCCCATTAGGATTTATTCAACCACAAAAAAAAATAGCTGAAGTCAGCTGCAGGGCAAAACTCAGAGCACACAAAAATCAGATACTGTAACTTCAGTAACTTTGCCCCAGAATAAGACAACGTAAAATGCTTTATTTGTGCACGACTCCTTCTTTGCAGTGATTCCTCTTAACACTCCTCCTGGCAAAGTTAGTAGCTCTGTGAAACAGAGAGAACACTTTCTCTACATGACTGTGAAGGTAAACTCAGAAATGCGAAGGCCTCCATGTACATGACAAGAACAAGCAGTGTCCTTTATGTGTACAGAGTCAAAAGCAGGACAACAGCCAGCTCACAGCCTGGGGCATAAAGTAGGGTCTATTTCCAACACGGTGCTGCCTGAGACTTTGTGCTATACTGCACAGCCTGTTTCCAGCTCACACAGGGCTCTGCTGCAGGTGACCTTGGGCTGGCTTCCGACAAACTCACTCCAGCCATCTGTGTGCCCTCCCTTGATCAGCAAAAATAACCCAGAGGGACAGCGTTTCCCTTTTTTCCTGTGAGGCCGCCATGCAGTTGTACAGGCCAAACTAAGCAGGCTCCAGCTTTCCCTGTGCTGCGGCAACGCCTGGCTGCCGTGGGCCAATGCTGCAATAACCCTTTGTTGCAATACCCTTTGGTGCAGTGACACCCCATCGCAATAAATCCTTGATGCAGTGACACCCCGTTGCAATAAATCTTTGGTGCAGTGGCACCCCATTGCAATAACCCTTTGTGGCAGGGACCTCATTGCAGGGACCCCCTGTTAAAGAAACCCCCATCGCAGGGACCCCCGGTTGCAAGGATCCCCCCCATTGCAGGACAAGCACCCCCACAAGCCCTGTGGCGGCGGGCCGGCGGAGATCCCTCCCCGCCTCCTCCAAAGCGCCCCAAACACGAGAGAGAGAGAGACGAGGGCCAAGCACTGCCCGCGTGCCCCCGCAGCGCCCATCCTCCGCGGGGCCCACCGCCCCTGATGGCACTGGGGCCCGCCCCGGGGGCGACGGGGGGCGGTGCGGCCCGGCCGGTTGGGGGCCGCCCCTTCCGCTGCGGATCCCTCATTGCTGGGCCCCGAGCGGAGCGGCGGCACGGCTCTGCATCCCCCTGCTCACAGCACTAACGGTGCGTGCGGGGCCGCCGGGGATCGGGCGCCCCGGGTCTGGGAGGGCGTGGGGGGAGGGGGGCTTGGTACCGGGTGGGGGCTTGGTACCGGGTGGGGGCTTGGTACCGGGTGGGGGCTTGGTACCGGGTGGGGGCGGTTGTGGGGTCGTGTCCCGCCGTGCTGACCCCAGCCTTCCTCCCCAGGACGCCATGGCGACCCTGAAGGAGAAGCTGATGACCCCCGTGGCCGCCGCCAGCGCGGTGCCCAGCAGCAAGATAACGGTGGTGGGCGTCGGGCAGGTGGGCATGGCCTGCGCCGTCAGCATCCTCGGAAAGGTACGGTGCCCTGCCGCCTTCAGCCATAACCCTAGCCGCATCTGGCCTGTTCCGAGCCCTCCTTTCTCTCTCTTTTTTTTTTTTTTTTTTTTAATATACGCACCTTTATTTCTTCTGTAACAAAGCCGGAGGCTGCCCAGTGGAGCTCCGCCACTGAATAACGAGTGTGGGCGCTCACTCCAGAAGTCGGTGCAGAGCATAGGAGGACTGTGTGCCCTTGCAGCGTGCTCTTAATGCATCTGTGCCCTAACCAAAGGAGCTAAAATATTACTGCTGCCTTCAGTGGGCTTCTTTACTTCTCTTTAGCTGGTATTGCCTGATTACAGAGGTGTTATCTGTAGTCTTCAAAAACTAAATCTGAGCCTAGAGATTACTCTAATTTCTGTTTACCTTTTACTAGGTAAATCCCAAGTTGTGGTCCTAGGCCAAAGCCTAAACATGTAACAAGGATCTTTGTCCATTGCCTTTTGTTTTTCTGTGAATTCTGTGACCAAGTTAAATTTGATTCCTTATGTTCTTCTTTAAGAAGATGAGTGGGAGCCACAGACCTTATCTTTCTTCCTAAGAAGATGCTTATGCCCTACCCCCTTGAAGTGGTAGATCTTGCATCAAGTAGCTCACAACATTGGGATCGAAAGTCTTGCATGTGCTACTGAAACGGTTGTCTCTTATTTGGAGATGATCTGTTCTCTGTTACCTTGAGGATGCATGTTTTGAAGTAGTGATTTTAACTGTGAAAAAATGTTCAAGGGCTTTGACTTGCTAATATTTAAGCCTTGGCAGGAAGAAAAGATGGCAGTAAGTAAAGGCCATTGTGAAACTAAGTACTGAATAGAAGTTAAACTTTTTTACAAGTATGTAACTTGTAACTAAAGCTGAAAGGTAATGGGGGAGAGGACTGTTGCTTAAAAACTACAGATATAGATATAAAAAGAAAATGCTTTCCTCAAACTCGTTTGTTTTTGAAGCAGTGCTGTAGCCTTTAAGGGTAACAGACCAGAAATCAGGTAAGTTACTGTGAATTTGATTACAATCCATCATCTGCGTGAACCGTTGTGCACTATGCAGGATCAAATTGTGCTCTCAGAAGTCTAGTTTTACAGTTGCTGAGATATATGGACCGAACCCAGAATAAAAGCCAGTCTGAAATCTTTCAGTCTTGATTATGGCATAATGGAGTTCATTACCTCTGGGCTTCTGCTATTCTTATTCTTTTGCAAGTGTCAGTTGTAATATAAAATGCTTTTATAACAGAAATGTGACTCTTGTCACTGAACTAGATGTGACTGACTTCTGCAAGGTGGTTGGCTGCCCAAAATGTCTTCTGATTTTGTTAAACCATGGCATTAGACTTTGTACCTAGCTTCCTGCGTGTTAATATTTGGACACAGTTGGATTTTAGATGGCTTTGGATTTTATGTAACTTAATGTGCTAATACTAAGTTAAGTTTACTCCTGTAGTATTAATATGCACACTTCAATGACAGTGAAATTCCATGTTAGTTATTTTTAGCTCTATTAGAAACAAGTCACTGTTGCT